TTTTCTAATTATCTAATTTTGATTTATAAAGTTTTTCTCTAGACATTAGGCTATTGCTTTCTTTTCCATTTCATATTTATCAGAAAACAAAATTTTTTTGAAATATCGATTAAAATTATTTAATTATTATTATATCACCAGCCAGCTTGAAGCCTTAGAGAACAGTTGGACATGGCACTGCATGCAAAAATTTCTAGTTCTATGGTGTACTAGGAAAGATTCTATTTATTTCTAAGTAGAATGAAGAAACGATGTCTGTATAACCTCTGTCACATATACTCTAACCGATCTTGTTTAATGAAGATGGGGACTTTTTATTTAACATCTCTAATTTAAATATATGTATATATTTTTAAATCAGGAAGACGATCAAAGTTAAGTAAAAGAATCACATTGAGCGAAAGTGGGGTTACCGGAGAAGGAGTGAGGCGCTATTGTTGATTGGCGAAATTTCTTTGCCTGATTTAAAAAGGCGCCATATTTTAAAATTCGCCAAGTCGGAACTCACATTTGAATAACGTTTCACTTGGAACATCATTTAAAAACCGTATGAGTGAACATGATATAAATTTAGCTGCTTCATAAGTTTTTGTGCAGTCTTTTTATTAAGGAATTTTCTGCATATTTTACAGATTTTTGTTTTCCTTTTAGTTTTAAATTTGTTTTATAAGTCTTATCACGTTTCCAAAAAAAAAATAATAATAATTTGTTTTATACCCGAATTTTTTTCTCCTCTGTGAGTAGGATGTAACGTTTTAATTATTTTTTTATAAATGTATTTCAAATAATTTATTGTGTCTTTACCAAGTATGTGTCCACAATATCTAGTAATGCCGCCGGCTTGAGAACTTTATTGTTTAGTTTTTAAATAAAATGTTTAGTTTTTTGTTTGGTTTGTTTAGGTTTTAAATTGCACAATTTATAAATTTCAATAAATTTTTTTGTATGCGTTTAATATAGAGGAGATTGTTGCCGTTCGCTTCACACCTGAATTTATTTTTTTTAATTTTTTTTGACACTGATATCAATGATTAAGTTTGATGTATTATTTCCCCAGTTCTTGTGTCTTACATACAAACAATCATACTTAGCAGTGGCAAATTTTTGTAAATGTTATGTCCCAGATGATAAATATTTTTATGTGTGTTAACTCATTCAACAGCTTCGGTCATCAAGAATTGTGTAACAATTAAAGTAAATGTATTAAATGTTTCAATTTAAGAAAACTTTTTATGATCTGTAAAATAAAAAAATTATTTTAGTATATTTTAAATGATAAGCATTAACTTTGACATATCATAACTATATAACAGTTTTAAGACCATCTGTTTATTGATTCCTGATTATGGAAAGACTTTATATATGGCAAGATTTTGAGTCAAATAAGAGAAACTTAACTATGAAACTTTAAAGAAAGAGAGTAATTTTAAAGTACAAATATTACTTAGGTTGAAAGGCCTTTTCACTAAAACATTTAATCAATATTATGACAATAAAATAAAACGATTACAATGAAAGTAAGATTTTTATTACCAAATACGAAATAATTATTACCATTCTGCTAGTGATAAAAATAAATAAAAATAGGTCCAACAGCTTTCAGGCATAAAAAATGTATAATAATCTAATAATAATTTTTTGAACTTTTGAAGCAAATTACAAACAATAAAAGCTATTAAAGTAAGGAAAAAAAAATTAGAAAATAAAGTTGTAACAAGTGAGTCACAACAAGTGATGTAATTCGAGCAACTTAAAAATTCTTTTAAAATTTTGAACAGTTATAAATATTTCAAAAAGAAAATTTACTAAAAGTTTTCGTCTCCTTTTTGAACATAAATTAAAATACAAATCTCTTTTTTTTTTTTTTCATCCTGCTTTTCTCTGGATGGTTCTTATCAAAATAGATGAAATTAAGTTGCCTATGTTAATAAATGTGTTTTTTTGTATTGAGAAAAAAATGTCCTCATAATTTTAGAGTGACAATAAAATTAATAATTTTCATATTATCTTTTACTCCATTTTATAAGTAGCGCACAAAATGAGTAAAAAAAATAATTGTAAAATAAGTAGACCAATTGACGAGTTGCAGAATCGAATAAATTAACACTAGATTGCCTAAGGAACTAATTTTGACTGCTTTTAATTTCAATTAGAAAAACAATGATGCATATAATGACACAATTTCTTAGAATTTTGTGACTTTTTGTACAACATAATTTTTTTACTGTTAATATTAACTAATAACTTTTTATATAACTGTAAATAATACAAAAAATGTTAAAAATTAATTTTAAGCAAATTTATTTACTCATTCACAATCCAGTCATTTTGACTGCTTTTGGGCAATATAGGTATATACTAATTTTCCGTCTTTCTAGCGTTAAAAGTTGTTATAAAATTGTGACTAAAAAGTTACTAGATGGATAAGCTATGAAATTAATAAAACCTAGCTTGAAAGAAAAAGTAAATAGCAAAATAAAATATAAAATTAATAAATAAATAAAGAACACATGAATAATTTCAGATATACTCAAATAAGCAGCAGAAGTATTGGAAAATATTGTAATTTTCCAAAACTAATTTAGGATACATTAAAAAAAAATTTAGCCGTCACAATTTTAAGTTTTAATAAATACGATTGATGCTGTAAAAAAATCACTTCATTAAGAATCAGCTATACGAAAATAGTAGTGAATATGTCACAGATTTGTTTCTTTATGTCATGGCTTTATTTAAAAATATTTTTCCCCTATTTTTCATTATGTTACATTTTTTTCGAAAAATATTTGAACAATTTGACTGAAAATTTTAAACATATTCCTAAACACTCTTATGAAGAAAATGTTTTCAATCAAAATTTAGTCAGCATGAAAAATATGTCTTTTTTTTCTCTTTTTTTTTAAATACAAAAAAAGATGTGGTTAAGCATTTTGAAGGAAGATATTTATTTTTTCTGAAATGGAAGTAATTGAAAAACCTGGTAAAAATTGCGGTAATGAAAAGATTAATTTTTCAAACTGGCTGAAAATATATGGTACACTTTTTATATATAAAAAAAGAAAACCTAAAAACATGAGCACTCAATAATGTGATGATTTATATAAGAGGTAATTTTTTAACTTATTAATTAAGGTATTGGAAAGAATTTGATTATTCGGCGAAGATATCTTTTTACTCCAAGTTTTTATTTAATTTACAGAAATAGTTACTATCTGAACATCTATTTTACCAGAAATATTTGTGTAATTAACTGAAAAAATTGTGTTCTTCCTTTATACTATTGAAGTATTATTTTCTCGTCTTAACAAGGATAAAATTTTTACCTGACTCAGGTAACAAGCAACTTTTATCAATAAGCGGGGTGATTTGTTTACAATTTTTAACTGTGTTAAACAAATTGTAATGTAACATTGATCACTTTTTCTAATTATATTGGGAGTACAAATTAGTTCGGTCCGTTTTCAAGAGATGACTCTGGCTGTTATGAATAATTCATAGTGACAGCGGGCTTCGGCGGTTTCAGAGAGGTTAGACATCTGTCAATAATATTCAGTTTATATAACTTTAAGTTTCATACAGAAACCCTGTTTTTTACTTTGTTGAATATGTCAAATGGTAACTAAGCAGCATTTGTGGGAGGTTTTATGTTTCTGCTTTAATTGTAAGAAAAGTGCAGCATCGAATGCTTGTCGAAGTTTATGATGACAATGCTCCAACTGATAAATCATATAGGGAATGGTTTCGACGTTACAAGAATGGTGTTGTATACTATGAACTGCTACAACCTGGCGATTCCATTACGGGCGATCGGCTACAATTGATTCGTTTGAACTGTGCATTACGAAAAAAACGGCCGGAATACGAGCAAAGACGTGACAAAGTTATTCTTCTGCATGATAACTGTCGGCCCCATGTCGCAAATGTCGTAAAAAATCATTTGGAAGCACTCAAGGGGGATATTTTATCACTCCCGCCGTATTTGCCGGACATTTCTCCTTTTGATTGTTGGTTGTTCCGACGGATGCAGCACGATTTGGCAGGTCACTGGTGCACTTCTTTCGTAGAAATCGAAAATTGGCTCCCAACTTGGACCGCCTTAAAAGACGAGACATTTTTTCGAGATGGAATTCGAAAATTACCTGAGAGGTGGGAAAAAGTAGTAACCAACGATGGATAATACTTTGATTAATCTGTTCATTCATTTTGTTCTGAAATAAATGCATTTTTGACCACAAAAAAAACAATTAATTTCTACTCCCAATAAAAGCAACTTGTCCTATCTCCTGAAATCCAGGTTAATGATTGCAATAAAGAAAATAAATGTATAAATAAAAATAAAATACACATAAATAAAAATTAAATACATATAAATAAAAATAAAATACATATAAATAAAAATAAGATACATATAAATTTTATAAAATGTGGTCTTATTTTCATAGAAATATGCTTATATTACATTTATTAAGGCACACACAAAATTTCGTGTGTAAAGAATTATATTATATTTAATATATAAAATGGGGCGTATAGGCACCATTCACCAAATCAATGAGCAAACCTTTTGGTTGAACGCTTGTTTTTTTATTTACTGACTTGCAACTTTAATCCATCATAAAAACATAATGATAAATCTCAAAAGGAATATTTATACATTTTCAAAAAAATTCATTTGTCAATAACCGTTTAAAGTTTTAAAAAAACTTAAAAAATTTCTCAACAGACAGTGTTTTTTCCAATTGAATTACTATTAATTTTTGGATTTCTTAAGAACCCTTGACAATAGCAGAAAAATAAAATTGCTGAAAAATGTACGTCACAGTGGTAATAAAAAAATATTTATTGAAATGGTGCACCTTTGGCTGAAAATGCGTTAATACACCCTCTCTTAACTTATAAGATTTACTAAGAAATTAATTTTTCTTTAGAGACACTAAATAAAAGGTTTATAATGGTGTTTTTATTGGAGCAATTTAAATGCGTGTTTTCTCTTGGCATAGCTGTTCTCCTTGTAAGAGCCCTCAAGAACAAAGACTATATTCTAAAAGAAGGTTAAGAGGTCCATATGGGGAATTACTTGAAGAAGAAATGCGAAAATCAGGTGAAAAACAAAGCACTCAAGAAGTATCTCAGCAAAACATCAAAGAGGTGAGTCTAATTTTTTATAAAAAGTACTTTTTTTGGACTTCTATTCAACGAACTTCGCGAATTTCTCTATTTTGCGATTTTTTTCGAGAAACCAAGAACATTTCAAATTTGTTAACGCATTTTATGCGGGAAATGATCTTGAATTGATTTTCGAAGGCACTTAACTGTTAGAGAAAGGAATATAATCCCTTTTTGTTTGTATTTCAAACGAAAAACTCGGACAAAATTAACAGATTTTATCAGTATAGCAATTAAGAACGCATGTGGTAATGTATGTTTAAAATTACTTTTATAATAAATGAGGCTATAATTGTATACATATATTTAGCTTTTCTTAGTTGAAAATGTATGTAGCATGATAGTATAACACTGAATAATGTTTTGCTCTATTCTTGCTTTCCATGCAGAGCTCTTTTATGGTTAAGGTTTATAAAATAAATAGTAGATATCCGTTTGCAAGATAAAGGTGAATCAATTGCTACTTAATTATGTCTATTGTTTATGAATTTAAAACCTGATTTGTGTTGTTTAAGTATTTCAAAAGGTGATTTTCTATTTAACAAATTTTCCATATAACGAACTTATAGGGATTTAGCGACTTTGCTAAATAGAGGTCCGATTGTAGTTATTTCAAAAAGTTATTTTTCGTGAAACAAAAGTAACATGACGAATGAAACTAGATATTTTTTGTCTCCACGAAATTATAACCAAGTTTTCTTTTATTTCAAATATTTTTTTAGTATATTTTCCTTTAAGATAGTAGTAAGTATTATATGGTAGTTAAGTATTGAGATAGTAGTAAATTAAGAAGATAGTATTATAGAAGATGTAACGATATTTGTAAAAATGTAAAAGCCAACTAAAATCTAGACTTTTTTAAATTTACTTTTTCTAAATTTACTTTAAAAAAGATAAAATGATTAGGAAAAGGATTTAAAAAAGATAAAAGGATTAGAAAAAGATTTAACTCAAAAAACCTGAGATAATTGTTAAGTTAAGGAGATATTACCCTAATTGTGACTATAAAAGCAAAAATACAAATTTACAAAATAAATCATGTTTTCTTTCTATAAGGAGTTTCTTGAAAAATTTTGTAGTATGGATAAATAAATTTAATGACCTGAAATGCTATTTTCCGTAGCATAAACATGCAGGGCGTTTTTAAAAAGTGCTTAAAGGTGCTTATTTTTGATTTACCTTTTTTAAAAGCCCTTAAAGGTGCTTTTTTTTATTCCGGGTTTGTAAAAAGTATTTAATTTTCTATCTTTTCGAAAGAAATTTTTTCTTCGCCATGTCGAATGCCGTTCTATATTACAAACAAATGCATGATTTTCACACTTTTCTTTGTAATATTTATCAAAAACTAGTTATTACATCATGATTATGTTTTAAGTTATGATTAAGTTTTTGAAATTTTTTTTAATTTTACTAATTTTATGTTTATAAATTAAGAACTTTAAGTGACAGAAAATCTTTTTTATTACTGCGCAGATCCTGATTATGATTTTTTTTTTCTTTTCTTTTGGATAGTGATTAAAAATATTTCTTGGGTACTGAAAAAGTACTTAAAAGGCTCTTATTTTTTGTTCAAAAATCTGGCTACGCACCCTGACATGGGGTTGAGTGGTAGTTATAGGCAGTTAATCAGTTATTTGGTGCTAATAGGTTTGTTTTTTGATGCATTTATTCATTTAACAATTCTGTTTTTGAAAAAAATCTTCTTAAAATATACTTGTCTTAGTTTTTTTCTTCTTCAATTATTCGAAATACTCTAGAAAAGATACTCTTGTACTATTACGGATTGCCGGATTTATCAATATTTCACCAAATAGCATAAATGCATTTTGATAAATAAAAAAAAAAGCAATTTCAGATGACAAGCTGTACAAAACAATCCCTGAAATAAAATATGAAAAGAGATTGCAAAAAAAAAAAGCCAGGAAAATTACTTTAGGGTGAATAGAATAAAGAAAGATAGATTAAATATTTAGCTGTGAACTGAATCCGGTCGCAACATTTACGGTGTATATTTGTTGCACTATCTTCATAAATCCAAATTTTTTTGCGACCTCAATTCAGTCAGACAGGGATTATTAGTGCTTTAAACTAACTTTAAGCTGACATGACATATACGTATTAAAATTTGAAAGTCGTTAAAAATTACAGATATAATATTTGTGTAAATTTAAGTTGAGTTTTATACAATGATAATGAAAAAAAATTTGAATAATTCCCTGTACAGTTAAGCCTAATCAAGTAACAGAAAGAATATGGAATAATTTCCTGCAAAGTTAAGCATAATCAAGTAACAGAAGAAAAAAAAAGGAATAATTCCCTGTACAGTTAAGCCTAATCAAGTAACGGGGAAAAAATATTTCTGTACTTTTTGTTCTCTTTAGTGTTTTTATAATTCAGTTTTTCAATTTTTATTCTAAGCAAGTTTAGAGAGGTTCTAAAAAGTGGTTTCAGCAATATTTACCATTTGGTCTGTTCGCTTTTTACCAATAAAAAAACTGGAGATGAAAAATAATCTGCAGTGGCCGCTGCCTTGCTGTAGGGTTTCTGCTTTCGGGCATCTGAATGATCCAACATTTGAACAAATTATGAATTTTTTGCAATATTTCATTCGTGTTTTGTGTTTTTACTCCTTAAATAAGTAGTAAAAAAAATTTTATACCCTATTATTTAATTTTTTTAATTATTATTAAATAAAATAATTTCAAAATATAAAAGTGTGAGATGTATGCAAACAACTCTTTTTTTTCTTTTCCATGGTGCGTAGTGTTTTGAAAAAGTGCTTAAAGGTGCTTATTTTTGATTTTCGTTTTTCAAAAGCCCTTAAAAGTGCTTTTTACATTGGGTGTTTTCAAAAAGTGCTTAATTTTCCCTTTTCGAAAATGATATTTTTTTTCTTTGCCATGTCAATTTTCGCCACGTATTATGCAAAAGCGTTGTTGCTTTTCACATTGTTTTATTCAATGTGCTTACAATTTATTCCACCACAAACCTTCGGTCCGTAGCTTATGAAGGCGCCAATTATTTTACATGTTTGATGAAAGAATCCGTCTACTGAGTTGAGATTATTGAACTATCATGTGCTGCATTTTGCAAGATATTCTCAATTTCACCCTTGTTTTCCACCCTCTGATATCGAACTGAAAAATCTTTCGATCTTTTTATATTGGCTAATATAATTAGAAGAACTAGTCATTTCATCATGATTATGTAAAGTCTTTGAAAATTATTTTGCATTTTGTTAATGCATATAGTGCTTAAAGATATTTTTTGAGTGCTTAAAAAGTACTTAAAATGTGCTTACTTTTTGTTGAATGATTTGGTACTCAACCTGTTTTCATTTGAGTATAATTGCAGATAAAAATGTAACTATAAAATAGGTATCTTGATTGCTCTTCTGTAATTGCTATGGATACGGTATTTGTTTATTTTCGCTCTATAGAATTTAAAATAAAAGTACATAATATAACAAGCGTGTACCTCTTTTTTATAAAAACAAAATTTGTAATATTAGATTTTGATAAAATTATTAAAAAAGTAAATATCAAATAAAGAAGAAAAAAAATTTTTTTTACGAGTTTTGTGTCTTTCAACAAATACAGATAAAAGAGAAGCTTTTGTGTGTGCCCCATAAAAACTATTTATGTCATTACATAATAATTACTCTTAAATCCCAATACAGTCCCTGGCCACGCACTCTAAGATTCTATGTAAAATCTTAATTATCAGGTCATACTATACAGCTTTATTGTTTTTACCGAGATTGAAACTGAAACCGGTTTACACTTGTTTATGTCCGTGTATCAATTTTTTGACATTGCTATTTTTTGACAATAAATACAATTAGGAAGCATACAAAAATCCCCTGAATAAAAAACCATTACATGTATGTTTAAATATAAAAGTATAGCGTACAAACTCGTGCAAAACATGCAATTATTAAAACACTACAGTGCGTCTAATAATTTGGTCTTAAAGTTATAATATACTAATATAATAACTGATAGAATAAATATTCCATATTTATATAATATATCGTCTAGTTTAAATTTAACCAATCGTCGATTTAATATTATATATCGTCTAATTTAACAAATATGCGAACGTAAATAAGTGCAAACCGGTGTCTGTCGCGTAGAAACAATATAGCTCTCACCTGATAATTAAGGTTTTACATAAATTTTATAGTACGTCTAATAATTTGGCCAGGGACTGTATATTGAAAAAAGATTTTTTTTTACGATCTCTTAATATTTTAAGATTGTGCCTAAATAAAAATATAACTTTTAATGAGGATACAAAAGATCGCATTTAATGAATTTTGATGAAATTAAGATTTGTAAAGATAGATGGAGGCAGGAGAGCAGTCATTGATCCTTAGAATCAATACATCTGCTATTCCGTTTAGTCTAAGCATTCTCGGCATGGAAAACGGAACTCTAAATGAATACAGAGGTCCATCAGATGAAGTACGTTCTTATATTCTCTTTTACTAACCTACTTCTAAAACTGTTCTGCGTAACTTAATTTTAAAAGCAACAAAGCCATATAATATCTCTGATTATACGCTCAAAACATGGGGAGATTTTTATACTGCTTAGTGGAAAGAATCAATTTAAGCTTCTTACAAAATCATTATTATATTAATATTTGAATTAATAAAATTAATTCTTAACGAGTCTAAAAATATTTGTTAAACTTTTTTAACATTTATAATTTAATACCCTCTGAAGCATTAAAATTTTGAGCATTGGAAGGATTTTTTAAAGAAATTTTTGCATTTCATCTAGAGATTATTTTGACTAATTTTACGTCAACTCGGCAGTCGGTGAAAAATAGGACATTATTGATGTACATTTTTAATGCCTTAGATACTCAAAGTTCGTATATATATATTCTCAAAAATTGACATTTATTAGTTTATATACTAATTTGTATTGGAGCATTTCATTATACTAAAAAAGACATCAATGCATTTGAAAACA